CGGCCGCGCCCCCTCTCACGAAGAAGTGCTTGGAGTTAGAGCGCGCGCGCCTGGAGACCAAGAAAAAGGGGAAGGAGGAGAAAGAGGAGAAGGACAAAGCGGGAAAGGCCCAGGCCGACAAGGGGAAGGCCGACAGCCCGGCTGGCGAGGGCAAGAAGAGGGCCGCCGAGGAGGGCCAGGCAGGGCCCGACCCGAAGAAGGCGAAGACCGAGGGCCAGACTGACCCGCTCGACTGGCTCAAGCCGGGCGTCGAGGTGATCTGCAGTTGCAAGCTCACGAAGGACAAGTCGAAGTACGAGGGCAAAAAGGGGCAGGTCGTCTCGCTGGTGAAGGCGAACACGGCCTGCAGCGTGAAGCTCCTGGAGGGTTCGGAGGAGCTCGTTGGGGCGAAGTGGGCAGTAATTACAGTCTAAACTCATAGTAAGGACGAACGACTTTCCAAGGGTGCCCTTGCGTCCTTAAATTTTGCCTTGCGTCCTTAGGTTTTGTATCGTAGGAATCCGTCCAGAATACTTCAACTTCGGCCTCCAAGGGTCTTGCGTCCTTACCGCGCGCCCTGACTATGAGTTTTGACTGTAGCGGAGAGGGGGGCGCCAGAGGGGGGAAGCTTGCTTTCCCCCCCCTGGCGCCCCCCCACCCGCCAGTTGGGTTTATGAAGCTATTCGGCCCCCAGGCTAACAAGAGGCACGTTTTCGTGCTCAGTCAGCTGTCGCCAGTACCAGGTGCCGCCTCCAGCGGGAACGCCGCCGCGGACAGCGGCGGTGCCGCGCCGCCTGAGAAGGGCGATCTCTTCTCCGATCCAGAGCTGGAGAAGGAGAGGTGAGCGGCGCGGCTTCTCCCCTCCCAGTCCTCCCTCCCAGAGCCCCCCCCCAGAACCCCCTCCCAGTCCTCCCTGCCAGTCCCCCCTCCCAGTCCGAACCCTCCCCCGGGCGGGATCCGTCCGCCGCAGGCCCGAGGTCGGGCGGGAGCGGCGGCTGTGTTCGGGCGGGAGGGGCGGCCTGCCCAATTTCAAGAGAAGCTACAATAAGACTGGCCCCGTCACGGCTTAGGGGCCAGCAGTCGCGAGACTTTCGATGGCGAGCGGCGGCGACACCAGCATCAGCTAGGACAGGTGACAAAACAAATATCAAGACGCCTGCGGCGAAACCCGCCCCGGGCCCCCTGCCTTTTGGACACGCCGATGAGGAGCCACGGTGTGAGGGTCGTGGTTGGGCCTGCTTGCCTATGGAAGACTCCTGTGGCGAATCCCACAATGTCCCCCCCTGCCTTTTGGAAACGCCGATGTGGAGCCGCGGTGTGAAGGTCGTGCCGAAAAGGGTTCATGAAAGAACAATGTGCCCCATGTGTTTTGGAAACGCCGATGTGGAGCCACGGTGTGAAGTACGTGCCGAAATGGACTATCAAATGTCATGGTCGTGGAAACGCCGATGTGAAGCCGCGGCGTGCAGGACAGAAGCAAAAATAGGCGACCGTTTAGATTGCCACGCGGACTTCTTGCATAGCAACACAGCTCACTGCAAAGGAGCAATCCCACCAAGTGGGATAACTGAGGCTTGCGAATCGGGTGCGATTTATTTGCCCTGAAGGCATCAGGAGGCCTTCGGATTGTAGGTTGCTGCACTGTTTGATTTGTGGACCCCCAACTGTTTGTCCGACAGACGCCCCTTGCATTGGCATCCCAGAGCAATTTATGTTCTCGGTTGGTGGTGGTGGTAAGACTCTGACCTTTGGCCACTGAGCTTGCGCTGTCAGCAGACCTATGGCAACAAAGTGTGGCCCGCTTCTCTGGGCCTGGTTCCGCTGCACTGTTTGATTTGTTGTGGACCCCCACCGGTTTGTCCGACAGACGTCCCTTGCACTGGCATCCCAGAGCAATTTATGTTCTCGGCTGGTGGTGGTAAGATTGTGACATTTGGCCAATGAGCTTGCACTTGCAGCAGACCTATGGCAACAAAGTGTGGCCCTTTTCTCTGGTTCAAGCCAGTCTGGCTCAAGCCTGGCTCAAGTCTGGCTCAAGCCAAGTGTGGTTCAAGCCATCGTGATTCAAGCCATCGAGAGTGCCAGCATGGGGCCCAACGTTATCAGCTACGGAAGGGGCCATCGTGATTCAAGCCATCGAGGAGGCTGGGGTCACGACGTGGGAGTGGGGTGAGCTGTGGCAGCGTGCCGTGGCGAGCTGTGGCCTCGGGCTGTGGCGCCGGGGGCCCAACGTTATCAGCTACGGAGGGGGCCATCGTGATTCAAGCCATCGAAGGGGCTGGGGTCACGACGTGGGACTGGGGTGAGCAGTGGCAGCGTTCCGCGGCGAGCTGCGGCCTCGGGCTGCGGCGCTGCTCAGCAGGATGTGGGAGGCGAAGCTGGAGCCCGACGTCATCACTACAGCTCTGGGAGATCCGAACTCCTCCCTCCCCCCCTTTCTCCCTCTTGTTCCTCCTCGCCTCCTCCCCTCCTCCCCTTCCTCCCTCCCTTCCTTATGACGTTCTCGAAAGTGGGCTCGAAAGGCAATTCTTTTTTTTTGGGGGGGCCTTCGAGCCCACTTCTGTGGCCGGCCCCCGAGAAGGGGGCGCCGGGGGTTCGGCGGAGGCGTGTTGTTTGAACCTGGTCTCGTGGCCTTCCAGGGCTTTGCTTCCCAAGGTCCCTTGGAAACTGGCCCGGCCTGCCAAGGGTAACTGCGGAACTCGTTCTTGTAGGACATAGAGGACATAGAGGCGGAGGCGGAGGCCGAGGAGGAGGAGGAGGAGGAGGAGGAGTCGATGTTAACAAATCGTACCCGCCCCCCCCGTTGGATACCCCTCACTGCTCAGCAAGATGGGCGGGGCGACGCTGGAGCCCGATGTCATCCGCTGGAGCGCCTCGACCAGCGCGCGCGAGAAACGCGAGCTGCGGCACTGCGCTCTGGCGCTGCTCAGCGGGATGTGGGGGGGCGAAGCTGGAGCCCGATGTCCTCAGCTACAGTCCCGAGACCTCGTCCGCCTCATTCCCCTCCTCCCTGTTCCTGCTCCCTCTTCCTCCTCCCTCCTCCCTCTCCCCCCCTCTCCCTCACTTCCCTATCGCCCTCCGTTCTCTGTTGTTCATATTCCTCCTCCATCCTCCTCTGATTTCCTCCTTTCGTTGGCAGGGACAGCGAAAGAGCACCCGAGACAATTATTGCCCAGGGGCCAGGCCGGAAATGTTACTTAAGACCGGGTTTTTCGAGACCTGCGGTCTGGCGAATGCGAAGAAAAAAAAAACAATTGGAGTTCCACTGGTTTCCAGACCCTGGATTCCTTATCCAAGGTTTCCTTATCCAATGCCTCCACCGTAGCTAATGCGCTTCGACCAGCGCGTGCGAGAGAGGCGAGCAGTGGCAGCAGGTTGTGGCACTGGTCAGCGGGACGCGGGAGGCGAAGCTGGAGCCCGATGTCATCAGCTACAACAATGGGATATTCTCAGCCTCCTCAAACTGATGATGAAGATGATGATGATGATGATCATGATGATGGCGGCGGTGGTGATGGTGATGATGAGGAGGATGATAATGACCAGTACGATGTAGCTGGCGCGTGTGGGGAAGGCGAGCGGTGGCACAGGGCTCTGTCACTGCTCAGAGAAATTGGCGGGGCGAAGCTGGAGCCCGACGTCATCAGTTAAAGCGCTCCGGCCAGCGCGTGCGAGAGACGCGGGCCGTGGCGCCGGGCTCTGGCGCTGCTCAGCGGGATGTGGGAGGCGAAACTGGAGCCCATCAGCTACGGCGCTGGGACTTCAGCCTGCTCCCCCTGCTCCTCCCTCCTCCCTCTCCCCCCCCACTCGCGTGAAGGTCTTCAGGGGCTTTAGGGGCTTTAGGGGCTTTAGGGGCTTTAGGGGCTTTAGGGGCTTTAGGGGCTTTAGGGGCTTTAGGGTCTTTAGGGGCCTTAGGGGCTTTAGGGGCCTTAGGGGCTTTAGGGGCTTTAGGGGCTTTAGGGGCTTTAGGGGTTTTAGGGGCTTTAGGGGCTTTAGGGGCTTTATGGGGCTTTAGGGGCTTTAGGGGCTTTAGGGGCTTTAGGGGCTTTAGGGGCTTTAGGGTCTTTAGGGGCCTTAGGGTTTTTAGGGGCTTTAGGGGCTTTAGGGGCTTTCGGGGCTTTAGGGGCTTTAGGGGCTTTAGGGGCTTTAGGAGCTTTAGGGGCTTTAGGGGCTTTAGGGGCGAGGAGCGACGAAACGGAAATGAGGGGTCACGGGGTAGCAGGAGGAGGATGGGGGGAGGGGAGGAGGAGGAGGAGGAGGAGGAGCAGGTGGAGACAGGAGGAGGAAGAGGGAGAGTCGAATGAAGCCAGCGCGTCAGGAGAAGGCGAGCGGTGGCAGAGGGCGGGACCGGGCTCTGGCGCTGCTCAGCGGGATGTGGGAGGCGAAGCTGGAGCCCATCAGCTACAGCGCTGGGACGTCAGCCTGCTCCCCCTGCTCCCCCCTCCTCGCTCTTCCTCCCCCTTCCCCCTCCTAACACGCTGCTTTCTCCTCCCTATCTTCCTCGTCCTCCCTCCTCTGATGTTCATCCTTTCGTCATCCTCCCTCCCCTTTCCTCCTCGTGTCTGGCTCCTTCCCTCCTCATTCCCTCCTCCTTCCCTCCTCTTTCCTCTTCCCCTCTCCCCTTCCCTCCTCCCTCCTCCCTCCTCCTTCGCCTTCCCCCCACCTCGCTCGCGCAAGGCGGGAGCAGGGGCGAGGAGCGACGAAAGGGAAATAAGGGGAGACGGGGTAGCAGGAGGAGGAGGAGGAGGAGGCGGAACAGGAGCAGGAGGAGGAGGAGGCATACTATGATGAACATGAGGAAGAGATGGATGTAGCCGGCGCATGTGGAGAAGGCGAGCGGTGGCAGAGGGCTCTGTCACTGCTCAGCGAGATTGGCGGGGCGACGTTGGAGCCCGACGTCATGCGCTAGGGCGCTTCGACCAGCGCGTGCGAGAAAGGCGATCTGTGGCACCGGGCTCTGGCGCTGCTCAGCGGGATGCGGGAGGCTCAGCTGGGGCTGATGATGGTCGTCAGTTGACAGTGCGCGAAAACATTGTTTCCATTGCTTCGCTCACTCCGCCGGCCCATGCGGTTATCTAGTGGCCTTTCGCCGATTGCGCAGCCGTGCCGAGGTCACGGACAAGAAATCTACGTACGCGGGAGGCTTCTGAGGGTCTGTTGGGGTGCCTCTCGTGGGCCACTTCGGGGCTTTTGGGGGACTGTGCTGCTCGCACGCCTGGTCAGCATCACACGTGACGACACTGATCTCCCACAGAGCTTGGCCGCATCGAAGGCGCCGATGGAGTGGGGAAGCAAGGAGACGGCGACAAAGGGGCCGTACGCCATCGTTTGTTTCGCGGATGTCGTAACAGGCGTACCCTGCGTGAGACCGCTCCAGAGAGCTTCTCGCAGCCCGCCCCGTGATCTCAAGCCCGAGAGCCCCTGGAGACCCCGAGGTGCCGATGGCAGTCTCCTGCAGCGGTGGTGGGCCGCTTCCCTGCAGAGGCGCAGGCCGTCTACGGAGACACACCTGGATTTGACCAGCGGGAAGACAACAGGAGGTCGGGGACGGACCTCCTCCGTGCCCTATTCCGTCTAGCCTCTCTCCCCCTCCCTCCTCCTCCTCGCCTCCTCCTCCTCCTCCTCCCCTCATCCTCCTCCTCTCTCCTCCTCTCTCCTCCTCTCTCCTCTCTCTCCTCCCTCTCCTCCTCTTCTCCTCTCTCCTCCCTCCTCCTCCTCCCTCCCCCGCCCGCTCACTCCCTCCTCCTCCCTCCCGCCTCCTCCCTCCTCCTCTGCTCCTCCTCCTCCTCCTCCTCCTCCTCCTCCTTTCCTCCTCCTCCTCCTCCGCCTCCGCTCCCGCCTCCTCCTCCTCCTCCTCCTCCTCCTCCTCTCTCCTCCCCCCCCTGGCCTCGGGGCCGGAGGGCCCTCTGCTCCGCGATCCCGGGGCCAGGACCTGCCCTCGCCGGGGCCGGCGCGCCGGGGCCTCGGCGGACGCCCGGAAGCTGAGACGGACCTCGGAGCCGGACGGGGAGGGCGGGAGCCGCACGGGCCCAGGACCGAGGAGGAGGAGGAGGAGGAGGAGGAGGAGGAGGAGGAGGAGGAGGTGTTGATTATGCTGATCGATGAGGATGATGATGATGATGATGATTGATGAATGATTTGGATGATGTTGTGATAGATGATGGGAACGATGCTGATGATGAGGAGGAGGAGGAGGAGGAGGAGAGGAGGAGGAGGAGGAGGAGGAGGAGGAAGAGGAGGGGAGGAGGAGGATGATGATGATGATGATGATGTGATGATGGGATGATGCTGAGGATGATGAGGAATGAGGATGAGGATGAGGATAAGGACATGTGGATGAGGAGAGGAGGAGGAGGGGGAGGAGAGGAGGAGGAGGAGGGAGGAGGAGGAGAGGAGGAGGTAGGAGGAGGAGGAGGAGGAGGAGGAATAGGAGGAGGAATAGGAGGAGGAGCAGGAGCAGGAGCAGGAGCAGGAGCAGGAGCAGGAGCAGGAGCAGGAGGAGGAGGAGGAGGAGCAGGAGGAGGTGGCGAAGGAGGAGGAGGAAGAAGAGGAGGAGGAGGAGGAGGGAGGAGGAGGAGGGAGGAGGAGGAGCAGGAGGAGGAGGAGCAGCAGGAGGAGGCCCTGCTGCGGGCAGGGGCCCGCGCCGCCGTGGCCCGGCCGGGGCGGGCCCGCAGGCCTCGCCCGCCCCAGACGGCTCCGCCACCGCCGCGGTGCACGCCGACGCGCTGCTGCTGCTGCGGGGCGACGGCGGCAGGATGCCGCCCCCTCCTGGGGGCCTATTTCTCTCGGGCCGGGCGAAAGGGGGGGATTCCCTGACTCCAGATCCGCCCTACTTTGGCTTTTTTTCCAACTTAAAATTGCGTCGGAAATCCACCTATAAGGAGCCGAAAAAGTAGGGCGGTAATTTCTGCAACCAACATATAATAGGGCGAAAATCCACAGACGTAGGGCGGAAACAACAACAGAAAAGTAGGGCGGAAATTGGCATCAGCGGGGCTTGAAAAGTAAGGCGGAAATTCCAAGCCCTACTTACGAATTTCCCCAAAGTAAGGCGGATCCGGACTCAGGGTTGGGAAAGGGGGGAAAACGAAACTTGCTGCATGCAGCTGGTTTCGGCCTCGCCGAGGGGCCCCTTCCTCGACACATGGCCGCCTCCGGCGCCGGGAGGCGCCGGGAAGATCAGCTGCGCGAGCTGATCCTGAACCCCCCCCTTTGCTATCCCCCCCTTTCGCCCGACCCGATTCTTCTGTTGCATCTTCGGGGGACCTCGCCTGTCCCAAAAATTGGTGTCTTTGGGGGGGCCCGACGCGTGCTCGAGGCGGACTCGACGCGGATTTGGCGTGGATTCGACGCGCATTCGACACGGATCCGACGCGTCCGACATGGGCTCGACACGGATTCGACGCGGACAGGGCCGCGACGGGACAGACAAGGTCCCCCGAGGATCCAACATAATAACTATTTCGATCCCAGCGATCCGATTCTCAGAGGAGGAAAATGTACCCACCCATACCGCTCCCCTTCCCCCAGTTTCCCCCTTTTTCGGCCTTTTGGGATGCCCTCGTCGCCACCGCCGGATTCGCCTCGAAGTCCTGGTCAGAACGCATCCCGGGAGAAGGTCCGGGGAGCAGCGGTATCGGTGCCTTTTGGTTTCCCCGCTTCCGGGGTCCATCTCGATCCGATCGATCCGATTCGATGTCGGTGTTGGCTGGCCCGATCCGATTCGAATCCGATGCTCGGACGGTGCGATGTGGCCCGGTGCCTGCATTGGGTTGTTGTTGTGCATCCTGGCGCAGTCGATCCGACTGGATTTCGACTCCGTGCCGATGCAGCCCGATCCGACGCATATTCCGATTCCATCCGACTTGCCAGTTCGGTGCTGACAGATCCTTCCCCTCTGGGAGGCGACGAAATCTACAGGTGTTCATCGTCACTGGCCAGGCCCATCCTGGGCCCAGGATCGGTGTGTGTGTGTCTGTGTGTGTGTGTGTGTGTGTGCGTGCCTTCCTGGCCAAGCAAGGAGGGCGTACAAACCGCTCCTGGGCCCAGGATGGGCTTTGCCAGGGACTTTAACAACAACAAACAGAACGAGTCTCGGGACAAATCCTGGAGCTCATGTTTGAGCAGACCTCGGACCAGTTGTTCCCCCTGTCTCTCAGACCGATCTTATTACTATGACTATTCTGCGTATGATTCGTATTCTCATTATTATGGCTGGAAAATACTTGATAGGACTAATGTTATTGAGAGTGATTTTGTGATTGCTATTCTTAGTATTATTGATGCTAGTAATAGATTTTTAATATTCCCATACATCCGTATTATTCGTACCAGTTCATATAATTATTCGTGTTCTTGTTCGTGCTATTAATAGTGTTGTTATTATGAATATTCGTAGTCTTTGTTTAGCACTGTTGTTATTAGTTTTGGTATTATCATGTTTCGTATCATTACTCTGGGTATTACCATTATTCGTATCATTGTCATGCTGATTACTCTACTCATACTATATATATATATCTCTCTCTTTCCCTCTCTCTCTCTCCGCGTATCTCCTTGTGCTCATGTTGGGCCTTCATGATGGCTTCCAGAGCGGGTTCGTGGCGGCGGCTTGCGAACTTAGCATGGCAATATGTGGCGACAGAGGCCCTGACGTTTCAATGAGAACATTTGGTGGGGCGCTTGCACTCGGGAAAAGTGTTCGACATCTTCCCAGACCTCCAGGCGTCGCGAGCAAAAAACATGGCAGGCGTGCTTTCCGAGCTCGGGCCTCCGCAGGGTCCCTTGTCGGGCCCCGGGGCGATCAGATAACTCGCGGGAGGAGGAGGAGGAGGAGGAGGAGGAGGAGGAGGAGGAGGAGGAGGAGGAGGAGGAGGAGGAGGAGGAGGAGGAGGAGGAGGAGGGGGGAGGAGGAGGTGGGAGGAGGAGGAGGAGGAGGAGGAGGAGGAGGAGGAGGAGGAGGAGGAGGAGGGCAATGGCCGAGAGCTCCACAGCCCGCGCCGTGGAGCAACCACGACGTAGGAGGCCTGAGGTCGGAGATTCTCGATGCTGCCCCGTGTCTTCTACAGACTCCTGGCAGCTTTCGCCCTCCCTGGGTGTTTTCCGGCAGCTGCCCCTCGTCGAACGCGCCTCCTCCTGAGGAAAACCGGGTCCCGGACCCCGGGGGCGTTTCGATGATTCTCGAGCGGGTCTCGACAGCCCTGGGGCAAAGTGAGGAGTCGCAAGCGGCGAGAAGACGCCAGGAGCTTTTTTGTGTATCCAGGACCCGTCTTCGTGGTGCATGCATGCCCGGGGATGGGGATGGGCGGTGGCGTCGTCTCGAGCAGGCGCCATTCCCCACCTGCGGCGCTGGCTCCGGCGCCGCCCCGATGGGTTGCAATGGCAGAGGAAGGCTCGATGCTCGTTTTGGGGACCTTCCTGGGGGCCACCTACTGGATCTGTTCGACTCAGGTTCGACTCAAGTTCGACTCAGGTTCGACTCAGGTTCGACTCAGGTTCGACTCAGGTTCGACTCATGTTCGACTCAGGTTCGACGCAGCTTCGACGCAGCTTCGACGCACGAGTGGAGCGAGTGGCTCCAGGAAGGTCCCCAGAATGAGCATCTGAGGAAGGCATTGCAATTATTTGGGACAACATGGGGGGGAAGCCGTTGTGACCGCGGGGGACAAAATAGAGGAGGGGCATCCCTGACTCCAGATCCGCCCTACTTTGGGTTTTTTTTCCAACTTAAAACTGCGTCAGAAACCCACTCATAAGAGGCCGAAAAAGTAGGGCGGAAATTTCTGCACCCAGCATGAGATAGGGCGAACATCCACAGAAGCAGGGCGGAAACAACAACAGAAAAGTAGGGCGGAAATTGGCATCAGCGGGGCTTGAAAAGTAAGGCGGAAATTCCAAGCCCTGCTTACGAATTTCCCCAAAGGGGGCGGATCCGGAATCAGGGATCACTGGACCAGTGCTCTATGGCTCGAGCTGGGACTCCTGTAGGCAAGCCTACGTGGAGAAAAGCAAGTACAAACAT